GGGAAGATCAACCATTAAGGCCTTGTTTAATTTTTAATTTGAAATACATGACCTTTTGGCGGCAGCAAGGCTTTAGGGCTGGTGCATCCTTCTTTAAGGACGTTGTGGTCTTGCGTGGGTTTGCGGTGCGATGCAAATCTGCGATCTGTCAGCAAGTACACCCATCTCTTCCCGTCGAACGTTCCCACATTGGGAGCTGGAAGAGAAGACTGGGCCAGCCAAGGCTGTATCCGTGGCGCAAGGTGGGTCCCTCCTCGACGCAGTCAGGTCTCTGGCTTGCAGAAACCTCACCTTGCAAAGGGAAGAGCCTGCCTTGGGCCTGCGTGCGGTGATGGAAAAAACACATGGGGCAAAGTTTGTTGCGTGACTTGGTGCTGCTGGAATAGAATCACAGAATCATTAAGCTTGGGAAAGACCTCCAAGATCATCAAGTCCAACCGCCAACCCAGCCCCACCACACCTACTAAACCATGTCCCCAAGTGCCACATCCACACCGTTTTTGAACCCCTCCAGGGATGGGGACTCCCCCACTGCCCTGGGCAGCCTGGTCCAAGGCCTGACCACTCTTGCAGGAAAGAAATGTTTCCCAGTCTCCAATCTGAACCTCCCCTGACGCAGCTTGAGGCCATTGCCTCTCGTCCTATCACTGGTTACTTGGGAGAAGAGACCAACCTCCCCTCACTCCACCCTCCTGTCAGGGAGCTGGAGAGAGCGAGAAGGTCTCCCCTCAGCCTCCTCTTCTCCACACTGAACAGCCCCAGCTCCCTCAGCCGCTCCCCATCAGACTTGTTCTCCAGACCCCTCCCCAGCCTCGTTGCCCTTCTCTGGACACGCTCCAGCCCCTCAATGTCCTTCTTGGAGCGAGGGGCCCAAAACTGAGCACAGCACTCGAGGTGTGGCCTCACCAGTGCTGAGTCCAGGGGCACGATCCCCTCCCTGCTCCTGCTGGCCACACCATTCCTGATCCAAGCCAGGAAACACCAGTCTTCCCTCTAGGCGATCCCGTGTTTCCCTCTTACCTAACATTTTATGGCAGCGTAATGAAAGCATCAAACCCCAGCTGGTTTAGCCAGAGCGATACTTGAATGAAGTGCTTGTGTTTGTAAATACATAGCCGTTCCTTTGTGAGAGGCAGAATAAAGTTCTGCTACTGTCTGGCATTTTATTTTTTTTCATATAGGTAGGAAGCTGTTAACCCTGGTCTACCAGTGTAATAATTTAGGTAAAAATAAGTATGTATCCTCGTAAATAGCGTTCTGCCTCTTTCAAGTGCAGGCCTGACCTAAGACTGCAAATGCTTTCATGGCTTGTCTGCAGTGGAATGAAACTGAAAACATTTGTGGTTTGGAAACAACAGTTGTTGAATCTTCAGGCTACTCTGTGTAAATAGAGTGGGGTAACTCGATTGGGTTTGCTGGGTACCTTGAATTAAAAACTCTTGTCTGACCCTTAGCAAGTACAGTCAAGGATCCTGGAGCAGCTTGTTTGTTTTAGCTAACAAATTGGGACAAACAACATGGTTTACAGCAGACCGAGTACTAATACGAGCTACAAATGTTTATAGCATGCCTAGGCTAATGTTTATTGCTGTTGCATAACTCCAGCTAATTGGAAATTGCATAACGAGGTAAAACAGCAAAACAACTAGGCCGATCATTTCCTAGGCAACTTCTGTTGAAGGCGTATGGAAATTCGTCGTAATATTATGTCAGGATATAAAGACAAATTAGGGGGTAGCCACCTTACTCCACCAGTATATCTATAAATACACGGGGCAGCGCAGCTTGGTGACAGAATCACAGAATCACAGAATGGTAGGGGTTGGAAGGGACCTCTGTGGGTCATCTAGTCCAACCCC